GTTGTTTTTTCATTTTTTCATTTTTATTTTAATTGTTGTTCAAGTACAGTTTTCTACCTTTCCCCTGCACCCACCCTGTACTATAGTTTTTTGATCTATTCATTTACTGATGGGCACTTAGGTTGCTTCCAGCACTTGGCTATTGTAAATTGTGCTGCTATGAACATTGGGGTGCATAGGTTCTTTTGGATTGGTGTTTCAGTGTTCTTAGGATATGATCCCAGCAGTGGAATTGCTGGGTCAAAAGGCAATTCCATTTTTAGTTTTCTGAGGAAATTCCATACTATTTTCCATAGTGGCTGCACCAGTCTGCATTCCCACTAACAGTGCACTAGGGTTCCCTTTTCTCCAAATCCTCTCCAACATTTGTTTGTTGATTTGTTTATGATGGCCATTCTGATGGGTGTGAAGTGGTATCTCATTGTGGCTTTAATTTGCATCTCTCTGATGGCTAGTGATGCTGGGCACATTTTCATATGTCTCTGGGTCCCCTGTATGTCCTCCTTGGAGAAGTGTTTGTCGAAGTCTTTTGCCCATTTTTAACTGGGTTTTTGTCTTCCTGGAGTGGAGTTGTGTGAGTTCTTTATATATTTTCAAGATCAAAACCTTATCCAAGGTATCATTGGCAAATACATTTTCCCATACAGTTGGTTCTCTTTTCATTTTAATGCCATTTTCTTTGGCCATGCAGAAGCTTTTTAATATCAAATTGTATTACAAGGCCACTATAATCAAAATAGCCTGGCACTGGCATTAGAACAGACACATAGACCAATGGAACAGAATAGAGAGCCCAGAAATAAACCCAAGTCTTTATAAAATTTAAAAAAAATAAACTCAACCACCAACTCACACCATACACAAAAATAACTTCAAGGTAGATAAAAGACTTAAATATAAGTTGTGACACCATAAAAGTCCTAGAGGAAAACATAGGCAGGAAAATCGCAGATACTCCGTGCAGTAACATTTTTTCACTGATATGTCCCATAAACCAAGGGACATAAAGGAAAGAATAAACAAATGGGACCTCAGCAAATTAATTAAAAACACATTTATTTATGTTAAATATTATATTAGGATAGCTTTATTCACTTTAAACATTTTATTGAATTTATTAGGGTAATATTGGTTAATAAAATTATATAAGTATCAGGCATACGATTCTATTATATTTCATCTGTGTATTGTACTGTGTGTTCAACACCCAAAGGCAAGTCTCCTTCCTTCACCATTTAACCCCCCGTTACCCTCTTCCAACTCCCATAGCCCCTTTCCTTCTGGTAAGCACCAAAGTGTTGCCTGTGTCTGTGAGTTTCTGTGTCTGTGAGTTGCCTTTGTTTTTTGCTTACTCCCTTCACCATTTTCACCCAGACCCCCAAATCCTCTCCCCTGTAATTGCTGTCAGGCTGTTCTTTGTAACTATGAGTCTGTTTCTATTTTGTTTGTAAGCTTATTTTATTCATTAAATTCCAGATATGAGTAAAATCATATGGTGCTTTTCTTTTCTGACTGACTTATTTCACTTAGCCTGATTCTCTACAGGTCCATCCTAGAAGTAAGTGGCTAAAAGTAAGATTTCTTTCTTTTTATGGAAGTCTTTGTATGGCTGAATAGTATTCCATTGTGTAAATGTGCCACAGCTTTTTTATCTGGAGGTACTTGAGCTGCTTCCAAACCTTGGCTATTGTAAACAATTCTGAAATGAATGTAGGGGTGTATATCTTCTTTCAAATTAGTGTTTTGACCATTTTTTTCAATGATAGATACATGGACCAAGGAAGTATGTATTCTTAATTTTTTTTAATTTTACTTTTTACATCTTTTCTAAAGGTTTTGTTTTATTTATTTTTAGAGAGGGGAATGGTGGGAGAAAGACAGGGAGAGAAGCATCAATGTGTGCTTGCCTCTTGTGCAGACCCTACTGGGGACCTGGCCCACAACTTGAGCATGTACCCTGACTGGGAATTGAACCAGAGACCCTTTGGATCACAGGCCAGCACACAATGCACTGAGCCACATCAGCCAGGGTTGTATTCTTCATTTTTGTATGGCTCGTTTGGTTGAGAAAATTCTGTATTTACTTGGCTGGCGTAGCTCAGTGGATTGAGTGTGGGCTGGGAACTAAAGTGTCCCAGGTTCAATTCCCAGCCAGGGTACATTCCTGGGTTGCAAGCCATAACCCCCAGCAACCACACATTGATGTTTCTCTCTCTCTCTCTCTCCCTCCCTTCCCTCTCTAAAAATAAATAAATAAAATCTTTAAAAAAAAAGAAAATTCTGTATTTAAATACATGAACATTATTGTATGTCATTATACTCCAATAAGTTATTGAAAAGTCTCATGTCTCAAGCAGCATCAAGAACACAGTAGCCAAGACACATTTTATCAAGTTTTGGAGGTATGTCTTCTAACTGGGTAGAAAAGTGTCATATATAGATAGAAATAGTGGAATTAAATTACATTTGATAATCTCATTTTTTGTAAATACATGTTAGCCTACATACATAGCTAAACTGAAATAAATTGGTTCAAGACAGGGGTGCACTACAGCCTCACACAACATCAAGGATGAGCCATAACCTGCAATGCAGGGACACACAGATGATGCAGACTCAGGAGATCTGAGCAGAGTTCAGAACAACTTCCATCATAGAACCCCACTCGATAATAAAGGCATTATAATAAACCATTCTATTCAGGATGTTTGTTATGCAGCAATAGCTGATACAATTATCAAATCAAACAGCACTAAAGGCAAATATAATAATTCTGTTTTTTATGTTTTACATATGTTCTGATATTTGGGACAACCTAGTGATTTTTTTGTTATTCAAAATACTCACAGTCACCTGTAAGTACAGTTATCTCTTTCAACACAGGTGACTGTGTTGAGGTTCCCTTCTGGGGTCTCCAAGAGGTTGCAAGCTCATGCACATTTGTGCAGAAAACCTGGTGATCCTGAATCATGTGACCAAGAAGGGATTCAGCCTCTCTTGTGAGTCACTTTTAATTATGAGAAGAGATTCCTGAGCATGAGAGAGCTATACAATAGATAATCTGGAAACTTTGCATTTACTGTTTCTTTAGTGGTTAAGACAAAATTTAGAAAAAAAGAAATGTTTTGCTTAGAGTCATAGAGGAGTCATAATTGCAGGCAGCACTGGAATTTTCAAGCAGAGAAAGAAATAAAATTCATTAAAGAGGTAAAATATACTAACCAACAACTTACCCCAATGCACAAAGCCCCTTACACATGGGCATCAATTTTCCATACTTCCATGAGTATAGCAATACTTTGCACAGTACTAAAATTAGTGATTAATAATTTTGTCTCATCATATTTCAGGTCATCTCTAACACTCAGGCCATATTAGGTTAATTGATTAAATCTTTCTGTCCATGTAGACTTCACTGTAGGTATGTATGTGATGGTCAATTTCTGTTAGTGCATCCATTGAGCATTAGGACACTGAGATGAATAAGACAATAAAAGCAGGGGAACAGCTATGAAGCAGAGTGGCATGTTTGTAGTCTAAGTGCCCAACACTAAACTTTTAATTTCCAAGGCTTTGACTTCAAAGATAACCATGCTGAACAAACCTGTGGCCAGCTCTCTGATACAGCTGCCAACTAAGCACCCTGGCCTGCTCCCCTGTGAAGGCCCCCTTACAGAAGGCCCTGGAGAACTTAGATAACTGACCTTGGCAGTGACCCACTATTCACTTTTCACACCCTGACACCTGCTCTTAAGTTTTAAATTCACCAATAAAGACTGAAGCTTTGAAACTCTATCCATCCTGCCCTCAGACCTGAATAAATTTTCCCACAATAATGTCTCTCCCTCTCTCCCTCTCTCCCTCTCTCCCTCTCTCTCCCTCTCTCTCCCTCTCTCTCCCTCTCTCTCTCTCTCTCTCTCTCTCTCTCTCTCTCTCTCTCTCTCTCTCTCTCTCTCTCTCCCCCCCCACTCTCACTCCCCTGCCTTCTCTCTCCATGACCTCATCAGTGGACCTTAGGAACATCTGGGCCCTCCAACCTCTGAGTGATAAACTTGCTTTTACCAGGTTCTCTTAGGATTTTGGCTGAGCAGCATCTGTGATCAGAATAAGAACTGCAAGGCCTGATTCAGCCACAACATTGGCTCATGTCAGTGTCACAGGAATTCAGGGACCAGGTGAGTTCCCCAGGCATTTTAAGAATACCTGCATTATCAACAGGCTGAGGCATAAATGGAACAATGTTTAAAATCTACATTATTAGGAAGAATACTTAAGATAGTGACACAAAAATGGGAGGGATGCAAACAACTGTAACTGAACAACAATAAAGTAATTTAAGAGAAAAGAATGACAGACACAAACTAAAAAATGGATTCATATTTTCCTGTACAATGAAATTAAATAAATGTCCTAAGATGCAAAATGTTGTTTTGTCCATGTGAGTAATACAACTCTGATTATTCTTTCAGGAAAAAGGAGAAGTTTTCTTAGCATGATACTTGTCATTTGAGAATATATTTTAGAGAAATCCAAGTTTTCCTATGAAAGATATGGAATTTTCCAAATATTTCTGATCCAATGTTGAGAAACACTTTCATAATATATAAAAATTGTCAAAAGGCTGACAGTGACCAGAGGGGAGAAGGGAGGGAATTACAAGGGAAAAAGGTAAAGGATTTGTAAGAACAAGTATAAAGGACATAAATAACAGGGTTGGGTGGAAACAAGAGGGAGGTGGGGAGGGCTGGGGGATTGGGCTGGGGTGGAGGAAAAGACAGAAAACTATACTTGAACAACAATTAAAATATTTTTTTTAATTGTCAAAGAGAAAACTGTCCGTACATTGTAGCAGAAGCTTGTAAAGTGAGTTACTTAAACTTATAGAGAACATGAATACAAGAAAATGAACCCACCAAGAAATGAAGAGAAGAAGCCAGTCTATCCCCTGGGATCAAACACTGACAGTTTCTGGTTTGAGTTGTTGAGCCACCCACACAAGGTCACATTTTCAGCCCCAGGACAATTGTACACTTGGTATGTGCCATCCCCAAAATTCTTTTCAGAGACTCCTTTATGTCTCTGTTCCTGAGACTGTAGATGAAGGGGTTCAGAATGGGTGTGACCACAGTGTACATCACTGAGGTGACTGCGCTTGACTGTGAGCTGTGGGTACTGGCAGAGCTGAAGTACACACCTAAGACCGAACAATAAAATAAGGAGACAACTGAGAGATGAGATGCACAGGTTGAAAATGCTTTGTATTTCCCCTGAACTGATGGGATTGCACATATGGAGGACACTATCTTAGAGTAAGAGTAAAGGATCCCAGCCAGGGGACCACTAGCCAGCAGCCCAGTGGCCAAATACATAGCCATGTCATTAAGAAAGGTGTCAGAACAGGCAAGTTTTATCATCTGCTTAATTTCACAGATAAAGTGGGGGATTTCCAAGTCTTCCCTGAAGGATGGTCTCAACAACATCAAACTATGTAACAGGGAATTCAGGGAGCTTATTATCCACAACAGCAAAAGCAGCAGTCCACAGAACTGGGGACTCATGATGACCATGTAGTGCAGGGGGTGACAGATGGCAACAAACCTGTCATAGGCCATCGCAGTTAGAAGAAAATTGTCCCATCCTCCAAACAGGATTAAAAAATACATCTGGGTGATGCAGCCTGCACACGTGATGGCTTTGCTCTGTGTCTGGATGCTCACCAACATCTTCGGGATGGTGGTGGAGGTGAAACAGATGTCTACCAAGGACAGGTTGGAGAGGAAGAAGTACATGGGTGTGTGGAGGTGGGAGTCTGAGCTGACGGCCAGGATGATGAGCAGATTTCCCAACACAGTGATCAGGTACGTACAGAGGAACAGGCCAAATAGGATGGGCTGCAGTTCTGGGTCCTCTGATAGTCCCAGGAGAAGAAATTCTGAAGTTGGGGTATCATTGCCTTGGACCATGGGGTGGTGGTCACTACTAAGACAAAGAAATTTTACATAAGTGGGCATAACTAACTAATTGGAGATGCTACAATTAAAATGCTATGTGGAGAAAAGCATGCACAAAGACAGTAGATGTGGGGTTTATTTATGGAGAGTTCAGGGAGACCTAAGAACTAGATTTCATTAGAACAGGGACCTCAAGGGAGAGAAAGCAGGAGATGCTAATTTATTTGCAAAGAGTATTTCCTACAGAGAAAGAGCCAGTGCAAAGACCCATACATGACACTTTTCCAGACATTCAAGACTAAAAATTGAGTCACATGGTGAGGCAAATGAGCAAGAGGAGAGCAATGAGAGATGATCAGAGAATGAGGGAAACAAGGTAACATTTCTGCTGCTACTGAAACTTCAAGTCACAGGGAATCTCTTGTCCACAGTTTTTCCTTGCACTTTATTAATTTTGTTTCCATGTAATATTGTGGACATAAATGATTCCCCCTTCTTGTTTTCATGTGTTGGTTAACATCCTACATCTCAATTTTAAGGGTCACATTTTGGAGTATATTTTCTCATGTACCCCTGCTTCAGTACCTCCAAAGCTCTCAGACTCACCTGGATGAGGCTCTGAGAAGGTCTCCGTGTGCAAGTCTGAACTGGTCCGTGGATGGCTGATGATGGAGAGTGAAACTCTGTCACCACACAAGAGAGCAGGAAGGAGTGAAGCATTGGTCCCCAACCAGACTTGAGTCTCCAAAAGCAACAGCACTGTTCTGGCCAGTTCAAGGTTGTACATGCAGCAGAGGCAATATTTTCAGTTGCCTATATCTGCTCATTAGATACTCTCTTCATTGTTACTCCCACTTCTGAGTACATCATGTCCCTTAGGACACTGATGTGGACAGAAGGGAAATTTTCTTGCCAATTATGTGTCCCTGTAAACCATATTAGAAGTCAGGTGAATCCAGCTTTCATTATTGCTTTTCCATGAACTCATCTGCCTTCCAGAGGTCTTACCTCCTTGCACCTCATTTCAATCTTGTGTCATTGTTTTCTCCAAATCTAAGACTGAGGACCCTGTCCTGACTAGGTCCCATGGACTGCTAGAGTACTGACAGGTGGTGAGCAACAGCTCCTCCTGTCTCTAGAAATTGCTGTTCCTCTCTTGAACAAGTAGGACTGGTGTGTTTCTTTGCTATAAAACCACAGTACTCTGATCCTTGGCCACATGATGCTTTTGACAAGTCAATTGGCAGGCTCATGTTTGTAACACAAATGAAGAGCTGGCATTTAGTGCTTCATGTAAAAATATTTGCAAAAACACAACAGGGAATAAGAAGCATAAATGGTAGGTACAAAATAGACAGGGGGAGGTTAAGAATAGTATGGGAAATGAGAAGCCAAACAATTTATATGTACAACCCATGGATATGAACTAAGTAAGGTGGGGGAGATGCTGGTGGGAAGGGGGTACATGGCAGAGGGGAATAAAGGGGAGAAAGGATGGGACAACTGTAATAGCATAATCAATAAAATATATTTTAAGAAAGTATTTGCAGAACCAGACAATAACAAAAAGATCAGTAAAAATATAGAGCATCTGAATAACACTAACCACTACTTTGATCTAAGTAATATTTCTAAAATACTCTCCAACCAGCAATAGCAGAATACATATTTTTAAGAACACGCAGTTCATTGACCGAGAAAGACCACATTCTGGTTCAAAATCAAAGCAAGGAGAAAAAACACTATAAACTGCTACATTTCACTGCCTCTCCTAAAAACAAAACAAAAACTTTTGGGAGAAGTAAAAGCATCTTTTCTTTCCCCAGAGAGGGTGACAGGCGATGCTTACTTCAACTACAGGTGCTCAACAAATGCTCAAACAACGCAGAAAGAATCAATCAATAAACTCCATCACCCTGCTGAGGTTATACGAACGGCCTCAGGGGACCCCAAATTAAAGGTAATTGAGAATGAAAATAATCAATTATTCAATACAGTTTTTGAGAAATGCAGGATTTATTTCAATCTACATTTATGGATTTAATTATGATTATTCAAGTACTTGATTACACTTCTTAGGTTGCTTCCTTTTTTAAACCATCTTTCTGGTATTTCTACTAATCTGATTTTATGTCTGTATCAGAGTCCCTGAGGAAAGGGAAGCTTAGACTCAATTTCCATGGCAACTCTATGTCCATCACACTATGTTTGCATATGCAAGTTTGATATAAATACATTAATATATGCAAATTTGCTAAATATAAAAGTTTTCATAATTATAAGATATATTTTGATGTTTTTATGCACTATGTTCTGAACTTAGATTCTTATATAGATTGTCTTATTTCAGTTCTACTAAAGTCCATTCTTTGAGATCACACCACTGTGAACTTCATTCTACATTTGCAGAAATAGGAGTTAGAGGGTGCAGCAACCTGCTCAATATGAACTGAGTAAGGGGTGAACTTTGATGGGAACCCCATCAAGATGTTTCCAGTTCAAGGACTGGCTGGCGTGGCTCAGCGGATTGAGCATGGGCCTGTGAACCAATGGGTTGCTGGTTTGATTCCCAGTCAGGGAACATGCCTGGGTTGTGGGCCAGGTCCCAGTGTGGGGCACAAGAGAGGCAGCCACACACTGGTGTTTCTCTCCCTCTCTTTCTCCTTCCCTTCCCCTCTCTCTAAAAATAAATAAATAAAATCTTTAAGGAAAAAAAAAGGTGTTTCCAGCTCTTATGCTCCAGTCACATGGTGGGCAACCAGGGGTGATTTTGCCTCTAGGGAACACCTAACAATGTCTGGAGGACTATGTGGCTACCAGTAGCACCTAGTGGATTGAGGGCAGGGCTGCCTCTCAATGACTTACAATGCATGGAGTGCCCCACCACAAAGAGGTATCCAGCACACATGTCAACAGTGCAGAGATGAGAAATACCATTCAAGACCAGAACCTCTCCAGCATCAATGGGTATATGAATTCGGGATCTTGTTTAGATGTAGATTTTGATGGGCAGGTCTACGGTGACCCAGAGATTCTGCACTTGTAACCAGTTCCTAGTTAATACTGATGCTGCAGGTCCCAATCTATGACCACTCTGAATACCAAAGCTGATGTCCAGTGTTAGCTTCCAGGGCAAGTAGTTTTTCACCTCCTTCAGGAAGAACCTTCTCACACACACACACCTCAGGTCTAGCCTTAGGCTGTCAAGTGTTGGACTCAGTAGCTCAGCTTCAAGCTCACACATGTCTCTTGAGTATTTCTCTCATGACAGGAAATGACACTTTCAGGCATTTGGTTCCTTATCTATACAAATAGAGAACTTCCAGCTATGTTACGGATGTGGCCTGAGAAGTTAGTCACATTTTAGAGCTGATGGGAAATCACTGGCACAGAGCAGATGCTCAATTTATAGCAGCAATGTGACTATGTCCCAGTTCTGCATTTACTAAGCTCATTGGGACACAGAGAATCTTTAAGGACAGGAAGTGAGTCCAGCATGGCCCTGCCTCTGGAAGAGAGAGAGCTGTGATCTTGAAGGTGGACCTGCTCACGGGGCCCCTCACAGGGAGCAGAGTGCTTGAGTGGCCACTGATCTCTGCTCTGCTGAACTGAGTGATGCAACATCTGACCCTCTCACACTGGCTCCAAATGATCACAATAAGTCTTTGTAGACTCTTCAAGCTGTTTTACTAAGGTCTATGTTTCACTCCTAGGAATTTTTGCCAAGCTGATGTTTCTTAAGGGATTAAATTATCCCACCAGCTCTTTGCATCTTCCTTGTTGCAAGGCTATAGCATAAAAACCGTGTGTTTGTCGTCCAAAAAAAAAGTGTGAAAGCCTTCTGTGTTGTTTGCCCAAGTAAAATTAATTCATATTTCACGAGTCATTCACTCCATCATTCTCTCATGTGGACTGTACAGCTCCACCCATTGCTTTGAGATGTTAAATAAAAATTGTCCTGCTTTACTGAGAAATAATTGATATTTCTCATAATTGATATTACATATAACTTTGTGTAACTTTAAATTGCACACCATGATGATGCATTATACATATATTGTAACATTTTTACCACAGTGTGATTAGTTAACACATCCAGCACATGATATAATTACCCTTTTTGTGGTTAAAACATTTAAGATGTACTTTCTTAGCAAGTTTTAGGTGTATAATACAGTGTTACTAACTAGAGTCACCTTGGTCTTTATTAGATTCTCATGATCTTATACATCATATACCAGTCTTTACCCTTTGACTAATATTTCCACATCTTCCTTACCCCCTGTTAATCACATGTTTACTCTTTGTTTCTATGAATTTGGCTTTATTGATACCACTTGTAAGACAGATCACACCAAGTTTTGTCTTTCTCTGTCTTATTTCATTTATTATAATGCCCTAAAAGTCCATCCCTGTGGTTGCAAATGACATGATTTCCTCATTATTTAATTGCTGAATAATATTTTATTATATGTAATATTTTTTAAAGATTTTATTTATTTACTTTTAGAGAGAGGAGAAAGGAGGGAAAAGACAGGTAGAGAAGCATCGACATGCGAGAGGTACATCCTCTTTCACACCCCCAACTGAGGACCTGGCCCACAACCCAGGCATGTTCCCTGACTGGGAATCAAGCCAGCAACCTCTAGGTTTGCAGACAGGGACCCAATCCACTGACCACACCAGCAAGGGCCATATTTTCTTTATTCATCCACCAGTGCCAGCTTAGGTTGTTTCGTGTCCCCGCTATTGTGAATAATACGGCAATGAACATTGAGAGGGTGCAGATACAGTTTTGTGACAGTGATTTCATTTCTTTAGAATTTATACATGGAAGTGAGATCCTGGATCACAGAGTAGCTCTATTTCAATTACATTTCTACCCACAGTGTCCAAGTGCCCTCTTTCTCCACATCTGTACCAGCAATTATCTTTGTCATTTTGATAAAAGATTCCTGATGGAATTGACCACACAGAATTTATAGTCTCATACATTTCCACCATATAGCTAT